GAAATCATGATATTTACCTCCCCCAAAAGACCACGCGACAAACCCGTAGCAAACAATACCGTTTCCGAAAAGGAGCACAAGCGTCCATTGGAACACAATTCTACAACTCATCCTTCGAAACACCCTCAATACCCATCAACTCCGTCTCGAAAATCAAAGTCGCTCCACCAGGAATAGGTCCAACCCCACGAGAACCATACCCATACTCAGGAGGAATAGTCAACGTCCGCTTCTCACCGATACACATATCCAAAAGACCTTCGTCCCACCTACAGCCCACCAACACATTAGCCCTTAAGTATAGTAATAGCATAAACCAAACCAAACCAGGTACAGGATTAAATCAGGAACGGGGGGAGGGGGGGGAAAGAAAACAAAAAATATACGCAACCACAAAACCTCAACACCCGGAACGAAAGAGGCGAAAGAAGACTCACCCCTTAATAACCATTCCCGAGCCCACCTTGAACTTCAAGGGCGAATTGCGCTTGTAGCTGGAGTCGAACTCGGAGCCATCGGATTGGAGGGTGCCCTTATAGTGCATGTGGACGGTGTCGCCTTTGACGGTCTTGCGGGTGCATTCTACCTCGTGGGTCTTTTCAATGCCGAGCTCAGCGGCGCTGGTGAGCGTTGCCAGGGAGAAGAGGAGCGTGGGGAGGATTGAGAGACGCATTTTGTACGTGTGGTGATTGAAGGTTGTTTGTGCGGTATGAGGTCGAGGTCGAGGTTGATGGTTGAAAGAGGAGTGGAGATGGGAATGGTTAAGGAAACGTGGTTGGTTGGGGGATGCGGAAATTAGATGCGTTGCCAGTTTGCATACTCCGGTCTGTTAGGAGACTTCCCATGTTCCCTAGACCCGTAGCCATTGGGTAAATCAATTGTTTCTTAATCCTTCATGGTATTAATAATACGTGCTATAGGAGATATGATGATTGTATATATATCATGAGATGAGCAAGTTTCTATTCATTTGATATACACAATAAAAGCAATCAAGCTATGAAGCAAGAAATGAAAAGGCTCCGACGATGAGGGTATATTGAACACAGCAACATAATATAAAAATTCATAAATCAAGCCCATTTCCCAAGGAGAGCCATCAGCAAAGCACCCAAACATAAGAGGAAGAACGCGGCCAAAACGTGCTGGATAGGCGCCTTCCGCATCGAGCTACTGAACATGAACTCATGCGCCATAAGCTCCACAAGCGCTGTGTAGATGAGAATACCGGCGGAGATCGAATCGAAAACTCCGTTGACAATGAGCGTTGTGTAGCCTTCCGGAGGGTAGGATTGGCGAACACCCAATCCGATGGCGATCGCAATTGGCGTCGACAGACCAAAAGCAATGCCCAAAAAATACGGTGTGAAACGTTTCGACCGGGGCCAGTCAATTGTAGCCAGACGGGACCCCAGACCCAGACCTTCGAAGGTCTGGTGGAAAACAAGTACAATGTAAAGCGTAACAAACTCCTCTCCGGATACGGCCAGGGTCAGACCGATAAAGACGGAATGGAAGATAATCCCGAACTCCAAAATGAAGACACCAGTCAACTGGGCCATATATTCCTCGAGGGACGTATCGTGCACGGCCGATTCAGGATCTTGGTGTTCGCGGGAGTGGCCCAGATGATCCTGGCCCGGAATGTGCCTCTGGTTCAAGACCTCGGAGCTACTCTCTGTGTGCTCCTTATGGTGATGCTCATGCGCTAATTCGTGGGCATGGCTTTGGCCAAATCGAGCATACCGCATGACCATCATTTCGACAAAAAAAAGCACCACGATGGTCATGAGGATAATGCCCTCGACCCAGGAGTACTCCTTGATTGGGCCGGTCAGGCATTCATTTGTTAAGGCTTCTTCGGCCGGGGCTAACAGATGAATGAAAGCCGTAGCGATGATAACACCGGAACCAAAGAATTTGGCAACAAAAAAAGCCCAGTCCAGATACTTTGAGCGTCGAAACTGTCCTGCAATCACAGGGAAGACAGCACCGAACATCGAGCCGATCATGATAACAAAGATAGAGGAGATACGTAGGCCCAAGCGGCCGTCGTATGCATTTCCAGTGTCACAGGCAGGAGCAGGCCCTCCATCCTCATCCCGGGCGAGTAGGGTATGAAGAACATCCATGTTGTCCCACTTTACTGGAGGGTTGGGGTGACTGGCGGGATTTTCCACAACCTAGAGCACAATGACACGGTCCTAATGACTGGAGTCGCAAAGAAACTGCCTTGCAGACGTGGTAGCCCAATAGAATCGAGGTTTGGGCGCTGAGAAATTCGCAAAGGTAGAAACCACGTGGTGGAAGAACAGGGGCAAAAACGCCTTTACAAGGGAAAGAAAGCTTTCTCGGATTGCAGGATGCCCGGACGCTTAGTATTCTTGGTATATCAGACCAATTTATGAAATTTTCTTCTCCGCCCTCTTAATTTAAATGCTGTTGTGCGGCAGGGTGTCGACTGATGTGATTGAATGTCCTCAAGGTCCTTACACTCCACTTCCGGTGTATGGCCTAGGGCTCCGTAGTGTCTTCTGAATCGACTAAACAACGCGGCGACAGGGATTAGATCTCGAGATGAGGACCTTGTGGTTGACACCTTTATCTTGTATGATGAAGAACTGGCAGGTTATTTCGATATAACGATGACTCTTTCTTTAACTCCCAGGAATTGGTATTAGTATGAGAATGATCTCAGGAGGCAGTGCACACCAAAGATGGGAGAGATGGGAGAAATGGGAAAGATGGATGTCAAAAGAGACGTCCATGATGCTGAGATTTCGATGTCCCACTTGTCACCGTAGACGGGGACCTTGGGAGACAAGCGTCAAGACCTCAACACGAGAGCGAGAGCGAAAGAGAGGGAGAAAGACGGGCATTTTTCGGACCAACAGTGAGGACCTTGGGAGCAGGTTTGACCGATCGTCTGATTGGTGCCATGCTTACCTTGTGGGACTTGTTCTTTCTTCCTTTGTTTCTTTGTTTCTTTATTTCTTTCTTTCTTTCTTTCTTTCTTTCTTTCTGAATGAGGTACTATCCCAATTCCTTGCAAATGGTATAAGTACCACATACATACCTCCACTCTCAAGTTGGAAGGAAATCCATTTCACCACAGTGAAATCTGCCAGGTTCATGATCGATGTCTACTCTACGGAGTACGCCGAGTGGAGGTACTAACGTGGGGCAGTACTACTGAAAAAGAAAGCGGTGTAGAGGGGGGAACTTGGAAAAGACTGCCGATTTACTGTTACTGTATGTACTGTACGGTACATAATGACAATAGGTTACTACGGAGTTGCGACTACGGAGTACTGAGTACTAAGAGTTGGATATTAACTTGATTGTACTCCGTACTCCGTACTTCATCCTCCATACTCCATACTTCATACTCCATACTACCTTTCCTCTATCCCCAACCCGAGTGGCAACTCACTTCCCCTCTGACCTCACTCGAGTTGTAACATGGCTCCTATACGGCAATACCTCCGAATTAGCAAGTATACCATCCTCGAATGCCGAATCTATCTAGAAAACCCCTCCGACACCCGATGGCTCCTCGATCGTCGGGATCCCGTTCTCCCCCGAATATTCGCCGCCATCCGACCTCTAGTGCTACCCAAACTACGCGAAGAAAACGAAAGGCTCCTTGCTCGAAAGAAAGGGAAGCCAGTCAAAGATGTAATAGCCGAAGGTATATACCCCCTTTGCTAGAACCACTGCGCATCCATGAGGCCGTGCCTATGGCTGACCATGCGGTTGATGTAGAGGATTTTGAGGTTTCCTTATTCCTCCGCGAGTCGAGAACACATCACTCACTCCTCACGCGACACAAGGAGTTTGATGAGCCTGATAATGCATCGAGTGCGAAAGGAGGAGTGGAAATTTCTAGCGGAGCGGCCGACGCTGGGATCTTGGTCGAGAGCGATAGCGAGTCTAATTTCGGTCTGCACGATATCCCGCAGGCAACAACGGAAAAAGAGAATGATAACACTGGCAAACGCCGACGAGATACAGATGAAATAGTCGATGTTACAGCGAGTCGGCGTGCTTCGAAACGTCGCAAGGATGAGGAACCGCATGATGAGAAGCTGCGCTTCAGAACGAATCATGAGGGTTTCAACATCTACGGATGGGTACTGTGCCTGATTGTTACGCGCAAAGGGGATCCATTCGGAGCAGGAATAACATCTTCGGAGCCAACACGCCAGGCTCTAATGGAGGAGTGGATGTCCACACAAGCCCAGGGAGATGTGGATGAAGAGCAAGATGTCAGTTGATTTACACAACCACCTGTCCCTAGAGGAGAGGTATTATACCGTCAACCATCCCAGGGCTGCCAAATTCCGTGCGGCGCATACACTCAGTATTCCATGCTGCGTTAACGGGACTAGCAGCCTAACTCCAGCGGCCACAGAACATGAAACCCCATTATCTGCCAAGGTGTCGACATTTGACAAAAGCATATCGTTCTGAATCTGGTCCAGAATCCCCCAGGAGGATATCTTCGGAATCCGGGGATCAGATCACTCTCCAGCACGGCAGCCAATTGAGTGCCACTTGCATGGGACCATCATCGACCTTGAATCTTCAAAGCAGCAACCATTTGTTCCAACCAGGCCAAAACTTCAGCACAGACTGCATCGGTTTTATCCATTACGTGGTTGGCCAATACGCCGGGCTCAGCCATTTCTCTCACATATCCATAAGCAGCGGTAATTTTTTACAATGATGGCACAAGTAACCGTCAAAGCAACTGGCCATACACCATACTTTTTTCTTCCCAGGACTCAGCCTCTCCTCGTATTGATTTGCAATAGTTTTTTCCTGGGTTTGCATGTCCGCCGGGGATGAAGATCTTACTGTACATTGACACTTATGTGTAAATAATATCTTCTAATAATTTCGAGTGGTATAATCCGTCATATCAAGTATGTATTTATACGGAGTAAGCTACCAACAGTATATATAGAAAACCAAAAATACTTCAAGAAAAAAAGAACTGGCAAGACTGGGGGTCGAACCCAGGAATCTCTCGATAGTAGGGTTTATGCGTTTAATTCGCTTAAATCTACCGCCTTAACCACTCGGCCATCTTGCCCGTTGATTGCATGTGCAGCCTTATCAATACAAAACCAAATTCCGCAATGGTTTGACCATTTAGTATCATGTGATTGCTCATGGCGTTGATTTTGCCGGCAGAATTCAAAGCTATTCTACCAATAAATAGTAGTGACATCGAATATCCATTCATCCTCCGTACTCCGTACTCCGTACAAAAGGTTGACATCCCCTGAACCATTTACTTGGGGAGATGGAGGGTCTAGGCAACCACATTGGTCTGTGAGGACATTGAATCTGGCCAGTATAGAAGGACCCACAATGCGCCGTCATCGGTACTCGAAAGCATATCCAGTTATTGAACTTTGTCGTCTTCCAGGAATCTTTCAACCCAACGCCATCTGAGTTTCTCTTAGTAGGCATTCTGGCTACTGGTTACATGGTGTCGCGTCCCTCCAGCGCCCGAGTACAACAATTCCCCCCCCTTCAATAGTGTAGGCGTAATTCCGACAGAAGTCCAGTCAGCTCTTCCCCAAACGCAACGAAAAGAGGTAACACAGTAATCAGCTCAGCTCACACGAATGCCTACCCGTTCAGTTCATTGAGGGTGGAAAAGGAAGTCACCATGTCACCAGATACCGTATGACCTCTACATACTCCGTACTTTGTGCATCTCAGTCGAACAATTGCTCAGTTCTACCATTTGATCTTCCATGGTCCATCCCAACCGAACGACTTTGGCCGAATGTATCCATCACATGGTATCGGTTGCCTTCAATATATCGCCGTGCAGTGTAATTCACTCCCCCCCCCCATGTTCAGAATCAGAAAAAAGTGACTAAGGAAGATGCATACATCGCATGGTATACGCAGCGCTCTCCCTCGGAATGTCAATATATATGTACCCTCTGCCGTGTAACACATGTAAATGTCAAGATATATGCACGCAAGCTTGGATCTGGACAACGCAAGGATGATGTTACGGCTGAGCTTGTGGTCCTGCATTTTCAACGCAACCGGATATGGGCCCAGTTTATGTAGTAGTATGCATATTAGTTGCGTGATTTCTTTCTTTCTTTCTTTTTTTTATTTATTTTTATTTTTATTTTTTTTCTTCTCCGGTCAACTTATATCCTAGATTAGTTATTCCAAGGTGCATATATGCACATATATAATTGATTACACTGCAGGTTATTAAAATCATGAGACAGAACCCTAAATGAAGGACCTGTCCTTAAGTCACGCCACATGCACATATTTTCAACAGGGTGGTCCTGTACAAGAGCTGCAGAATGATGAAGATCAAATTAGACTTCCGGGTTGCTGCAGTAAGTCGGTATCAAATATGTATGTGTGTGTATGACTTACATGGGAAATTGTGTTTTGGGGTGTGTCAGGAATTTTTGTCGGATTTGATATTTTGGTTGTCTGGTTCGGCCGAATATTCTCGATGCAAGGTGAATTTTAGAGAGTCGGGCTATGCGGTTGGTGTCATGGATTAATTACAAGCCCTTTTTATTTTATTTTATTTTACCTTTTTATTGTTATTTTTATTTATTTATTTAAATTTTTTTCTTTGTAGTACATGCTTAATTTGCGTACACACCAATCGGCATCATATGGAACATTCATATTTTACTCTCAATCAGGATCACAATACTCTGTATACAAGCTAATCTCAGTTAATCATCAAGATCACTAACTTTTGTGATAGTGGAGCGTCGTAAGATCCCAGACTCATTTAAGACTCAAACAAGCTCCTTGTAAAACTTCCTCTACTGAACAAAACACCGCCACTGTGCCAAGATAGGGCTAGACTGGGCGAGTCCCCGTTGAGGCTTATGGACACTGAGTCATGTCGCTGTAGGTTACCAGGTGAGTGGTTGCAAGTAATGGCCAGTTGTGCAGATACGAAGCCACGCCGCCGCCTTGTCAGATTTATTGTTTGCATTTCAGTCAATGGGAAGATGCTGGCACTGTTAAAAGGGAACCGAGCGGAACTTTATTCGAGGCCTCAGGCAACCGATTTAATCTCCGCATTTTCCGTTCCCAGCGACACTCGGACGTCCAGATCCCGGACAACCCCGTGGGTTGGGGAAGATGCAGTGTCAAGACGGCCACTATCAGTACTATCGACTACTAGTATGGTATGCATGTACGGAGTACTCCGTAATGTATGTATGTACCTCGTGAGGAGATAACAGAGTGCAACGATGGATTAAAAATGCCGAAGTCAATCACGTCATGACTTCATGACTCTGAACTTTGCAGGAACTCGTTGGTTCCTCTAACGATGTTTTAACCTACGGTAGACAGTCTCCGTACTCCGTAAATCAAAGTCAGTAACCTACCTTAGGTACATACCTACCTACTAGTACGGAGTATTCCGTAGGTAGTACTAATATTGGGAACCCGAAAAGTGCCAAATAGTGGTGGACCACGGGCTGAGTGAAACAAAGCTGCCTTTTCTTGGGACGAGAACTCCACACGTTCTGAACCAGTTACAGTACGTACGGAGTGGATTGCCTTAGCGCTAAACCCTCTCGAAGGAGTCAAGGACCATACCGAGTTCACTAAGGAGCGGTGAACCATGGAATCAAAGGCTTCTGGAAGGACTGGAATTGTTCTACCGCAAGGTAAACATCTCGACGGGGTTGGTTGATCCTTAATTTCTGCACCAAGGTTGTTGAAAATATCCCCCCATACATGAGGTCCTGTCCGCTGGATGTAAGGCTGGCATTGAATTGAGTTGTGTGATCGTCAACAGCCTTTCTCATGTCGTGGTAATCTTACGTTGTCTATCGCATTCCTCTAAGAGCATCGTGCATGTCGCCAACTTAGCCGAGTGCTTAGACTTGCCTTAGTCTCTCCGCATGAGAGTGCGTCTGTGAGCTAGTACTAAGGTATCGGTCAAGGAGCTTTCACTGTTCAGTGTCCAACGGCGCGGAATGAACGCTTTTTTTTTTTTTTTTTTTTTTTTTTTTAGTGGAGATCTTTTTTTTTTTTTTTTCCACTTTTTTTAAGTCTTTTTTTTTTATATATATATATATATTTTTTATATTTTTTATATATATTATTTTATTTATTTTTTCTTTTCTTTTCTGGCCATGTGTCTTTCCCGCTCTTCAGCCACAGAAATCTAAAAGAGGAAAAAGAAGAAAGAATTGAACCAAAGAGAAAAAGGAACAAGGGGCAAGCAAGCCAGAAGAATAAGCGACAAAACTTTAATGTAGATTATAAGGGACCATGGGATAATCTGGTTGAATGTCAATTTGGTACAACTGTCGTTACGCTCGTCTGAGATTAATTCCAGATCCATAAGAGTTCGATGGAGGAGATCTATCGTTCCTGGCACTGCATCTCTCGCTTATGCCAACCTACGAACTCCCTTGGGAACAAAGACGGAGTACGGGATATGTTGACTTACTCCGAAGGGAAACAGTGGCAAATCGAAGGAAATTAACAGAACAGGATTGGTCAACTAGATACCGATGGATCGACGGTAAACGGAAGTAAGTACTGGTACCTACGTAGTACTAGACTTTGATGAGTGGGATGCAACAGTTTTGGTCACTTGTTCCATCCACTTCAGTTTTCCACACCCCGGCCACTTTTCATCTGCAGAAGATCCGCTTGTATGTACATGTACACCGTTCATCGCACTACTGCACTCCATAGTTACACCTGGGATATTATTGCTTGAATCCGGATCCATTGATTAATGCCCACTAGCAGGGATTTAAATCAAATCATCTAACGAGATTTTCCTCGGACGAGACCTCAAGGGATTGTTGCATTGCTGAAGAAAGAACAAAAAAATAAATAAATAAACAAATAAATCAATAATAAAAAAAATTAAATGAATGAATGAAGAAATAAATAAATGAAACAAATTGAAATGAAATAAAAACGGATATAAGGAGGACAACAGGGGACTGAATATGATACCAGCTGAAAAGACCGCATCAGGAGAATCCGTCAGCGGATGGGTTGATATCAGCAAGGGAGGTTAAGCCACAGCGGCTCAGGATGATACCCACTGTTTTTCTTTTCTTTTCCTTTTTTTTTTTTTTTTTCTTCTTCTTCTTATTTTTCTTTTGACTTACCTTACTCGTCTTTCGGGTCCAACAGGAACGGGTGAATTGTAAACCTTGGAAAGTTGACGGGTCAACCGTCAAACTTCAACGGTCAGAATCTGGAGCACGGAGTCTCTTTTTAAAAGCAAAAGTAAGACTTTTTCATCAAAAACGGGAACTAACCGTTGCCCAACAACATCAATCCCAAAGCGGGATTTGTTAAATACTACCAGGTAAAACTCAAAGGTACGTAGATACTAGTAGGTACTCCGTAGTAGTAGTCATTAGGTAGGTGCCTAAGGTGTGTGTACCTTATGTCCTGTACTATGATCATCCGCAAGGAGAAACCAGGAGCGTGCAGATGCCAGACTCAACCAATCACCGAGATCCGGGTTCTTTCTCTCATTTTTCTCTTGTTCTCCAGCGCTTTCTTCTTCTTTCTTTCCTTCCTTTTTTTTTCTGTTCGGCGACGCCCCTTGAAAGTTGAAACATCCCGGTAAGGTACAGGTTCATTACAGATACTGTACGGAGTACTCCGTACAACGATTAGGTATGCGACTACCTAACCCTTCATGCTAATAATATCATCCAAATGGCTCCTAGTATGAAGATGAAACGATCTATCACACCAACCTGACACAAGCCCCGAAGGCCAAGGCTGCAAGGAATCCACAACTCCTTCCAAGTTCCTAATCAGTTCTCATACCAGGTTGAGCGATCTTTACCCAGGAACCCTGCCAGAGTCAGGAGTTTGAGCCTTTTTGAGGTTCTAACTTCTAACTTCTGGCGGCTGGTATCTAGCGGTCCCGGCAGTCTGGCTGAAACTAGGATCTCCATCCTTCGGGTCTGTGAGGTGATGAATCACAAAACAGATCAAAGTTTCAGGCAACCAGCACCGACCATTCATCTCAAGCCTCCCCTCGCGAATTTGGACCACGCTTAGGCTACTACATCTCTAATAGGT